GGGGGGGGGGGGGGGGGTCTGGTGGAAGAGGCCAGCGGCCAGCGCCTTGAACACATGGTTTCAGCCAGGTTTGACATTAGCGCTGCTGAGTGAATCGTGTATCCTGTGCTTGGTCCCACCCCCTATGCCCGAGTCAAGCCGAGGAGCCGCATCGCGGGTAGCAGTACATGGCTTGAATTCAGCAGAGCTGGAGGCAAACGTGCAGGCCGGTTTCTTTTCAATTGTTACAACTAGCTGTCGAGTCCAGGTCAGCTTACTCCTTTCTGCTCCTTTCGTACATCGATTGGTTGCAGTCATGCTCGTAAGCATGACAGTGTCAAAGTTCTTGGATGATCCAACTTGCAAGAAGGTGTAGGGTGTAGGCAGTGTAGGCCTTGTTCTTGATAGTTCTGGGTTCCACAGTTCTTGCAGCATCACCCAAGTGATTTCCCTGCGCACGGAGGCAACTGAGCGCCATGTGCAGGACACTGGGGGAGGTTTTAAGAGGAAATCAATCGGAGGTCTGAGGGTGTCTTGCAGAGATCATTAACGAAGTTCTTGCTGAATAGCTCCCACGCGGGACGTGAGGTGTTTGTCAAGCCGACCAGGCTGGTCTCCAGCCGCGTGCTGTGCAGAACAAGAAGCCACGAAACTTATCGAACATCGGAGGATGAAGCCTGATTTCTCAGCAGGGTTAGCTTTGCTGTACCAGTCTCAAGAGCCCTGCCGGTGTTGGTGCCAGGATCTCAATTCGAATCCTGTCCTGCCCTGGAGCTCCGACAGTTTTGACATCGTCACGCTTGCGCTCAGTGCTTCTTGGAATGTCTCGTTTTCATTGGGGGATTCAAAAAATCCGCGTCCTGGATCGGCGCCTCAGCTCAGGTTCAATACCTGACGGACCCCCGCGCTGTCTTCACGGAGATCAATCGTGTGCTGAAGCCCGGTGGGCTCGCCGTGGCTGAGTGTCTGCATTGGAGGGTCGAGTCATGCAAACCCTGAGCCCCAGGCCGCAAAACAACCCATGCCCCGAACTCTAGACACTAACATGTGAAGGGCTCTTGTGAGCTCCCAGTAATTTTGAGTGTATGTTAAGACTCAGGGCACAGGAGTGATGACTTCGAAGGTCTAATCCGCTCCGAGGGCGCGCATTATTGCTCGGGGTACAAGGCCACAACTTGTACTTCACATGCAGTTCTGATTTGCAGTTGTGGCACTTGTATCCGACTGCGAGATCATTTGCACAGCCCTGGCACTGCCGTAAGGTTGCCTTCTCCCATCGTGCATTCATTGAGAAGGCCGGGAGAACCCGTCGGTAGGCACAGTGTATCAGAAGCTTTGCACTTGCCAAGGCGGTGCAGGTTTGGGCAGCCGAGCCTGACGACGGCGAGGGGCACGCACACCTCGTGAGTCAGGGCTTCAGTCAAGTCCAATTCGCTTTCGAAAGAGGGAAGTGATCACAAACTGAGGCTTTGACATAGCCCCATCTGAGGGTTGAGCCCAGACAAGCCGAGTTGTGGCTTAGCACGCAATTCTGCCCGAGCCATATGAGGCCGCTACTTCCAGCACGGGCCATGTGGTGGCTGGGAGAAGCTGGCGACAGTGGCAGCTTGAACGCAACGTGTTTGGGCCCGGGGTCGTGGAGCCAGCTGTTCTGAAAGCTTCATGCGCTTTCGGAGCGAAGGGTATTCCAGGCTTCCTGGGTTCAGAAAGCGCATCACCGAAGAGCATGACAATGAGTTCACGCTTAGTTTCAGCCTTGAAGGATGTCAGCCCACAACATGGGGATCCAGTTTGGCTGGTGACTGCGGTGAAGCCGAATTCGCAATAGACACATGCAAAATCAAATGAAGCTACGGCGCAAGGGTCGCCGCAAAACAGTGGAGGAAGCTGGAGAGGTCAAGGAATGCCCTTGCTTCTCGGATCAACTTTTAATTTGCTTTGGGCCACAAGTCCTGTGGTAGATTCTGCTAGGTGTCATTTTGAGGCAGCAGCGTCGACACAAACACCACAATGCCTCTCGGAGTGTAGCAGCTCTGCCTAGCGGCGCTGCTGCCCCTACATTGCCTTGGCACCAACAACTCATACGATTTGCTGAGATTCTTCCGATAGACGAAGCCTGGCGGGGCCGGGTCTTCGCCACTCCGTGCTTTGACGGAAGAGTACCCCTCTGCTTCTTCAGAGAGAGATGAGCCAGTGAGAGCTGTTGGCTCATGGCCTCTACCTATTTTGGATGCGAAGACAGCTCCAGGGCGGTCGAAACCATTCTATTTCTATGTAGTCGTACAGTGATGCCGCATGGTGCTGAGTGAAGGGGACCCTGGGAAAAGAGCCCCCTGACCATTAGAAGTATGTCCCCCAGCTTGCCAACCTTGCGGGATTCTTAACTTACAAGCAAGAACAGCATCTCTTTGAACAAGGAGGCATCTTGCGTATCCATCGAAAAAGGCATGGTCGAACACTGTGAGGGCACGTCAGGAGTGAAGTTCGTTCTGGTTCATGCTGCGCGCCCGGTTCAACCTCCAGGCTGGAGAAGCCTTTGGACAAGACAGGACATGGTAATACCAACCGATGTGACCCGAATCCCATGTGCATTCCTCTGGTCTCTAACATTTGAGAACAGCAGTAATTATTCAGTTGCAACTGGCATTCTGCTTGGTGCCCCCTGAGAATAAGCCGTTGGAAGTCTACTGGCCGCAGAATGGTCCGCGACTGAGAGTCTACTCCACACTTGAGCTCTCCGAAGCCCTGGGTATTTCGTCGGCGTATCCCTTCTCTATGCTTCTGCTGTGTCTGCAGTCTTGTAGAAACACATGCAGCATCATATTTATCAGGCACAGCAGGCAGGCACATCATTGCTGTCTCGACGCAGCATCCCACCCGAGGAACAGGCCTCTGAAGCACCCGGGTCGGCACCACTTGCGGCTCCAAACCCTGCAATGTCTGCCCTCCCGGTGGATTGGGATCCGCTTGGCACTCGGATTGCTTTGGTAGGAGGCGATTGATAGACGGCACTGTGACAGTGTGTCTGTCGAACGCTGGCTTACGGAGGGCAACCTGGGGTGTTTTGTTCAGGTCAGAAGTCTTGGAGCAGGCTCATGAACTCAAGGTCCTGCACATCTAAGGCTAAGGTTTCAAGTTTCAGGTGTCCGAGCAGCAACAAGGCGAACGGCAACAGAGCCCACCAGTAGAAGTCGTTTCGTGAGGGAACGCCTCTTCCGTTCGCCGACACTTAGCGTATCCCGGACCATGTCAGGGCAGTAAGTAGTCAACCCTAAGGGTTTGACTCGAGGCATATTCAGCAACTGAGGTCAATGATGGCAGATGATATCGAAACTCTTCGACGCGAGTACGCAACACAGGCGGTTGCAGAGGAAAGAGGCATATGCCAGGCGGTATGTGAGCTTTTGGAAACTCGCAGCTGGCACTTCCAAAGATTGGACAGGGAAGAACAAGCATATGGAAGCGATGTAAATCTGTTTCAACTTTGCAATGCTACTTCTTAACCGACATCCTTCAGCTCTTGAGTCTTCCCACTGACTCCTCGTGCATCATCTCATAGAACCAGCTAAAACCGACAGGCGAGAGTCGGAGAACTGGGGCCGGGCGAAAGAGCGAGAGAGAGAACGAGACGGGCCAGTCCTTTTGCTTGGAATGGCGCGGGACACAGTGAGAATGGGACCGCAGACCCCATGTTGATGGCGATGTCGAGCACGTGGGTGGCTTTTCTGCTATACCATCTCACGAACCACCGCGACCTCCAACGCCACCGGAGCGACGGGACCCAACTGGCCCTCCTCGACGTCGGGTACGCCCTGACGCCAATGCGACTCTTTCTGAGCAACGAAGTCCTCGGCAACAGCCAACGCCCAAAGCACGTCCGAGACAAGCCGGCCAACCGAAGACTTTGCCCCTAATGCAGGGACTTCCACCACCGCCAGGGCCCACAGGACCACCGCCACCGTCATCTCCCTCGAGTCCAATACTTCAAGAAACAAGAGCTTTGGGAGACAGGGTTTTCGGTCCAAGGGATGTTAGAGCTCCTTCGCAAGATCCCCGACGACCTCTTGCAGCAGTCCTTCTTCCAGCCCCGAGAGTCAGATCTCGCGTGCCATGCCTGCTTCTACTTGGGCAAGTTACAGGCACTCAACGAGGCGAACCTCGCGCAGGGGGAGTCCATCCCCGAAGCGATGCAGAGGCCCAGCAAAGGCAAGTGGAAGCAACCAGCGACCACATTTCACGAATACCGCAGCTGACTTGGCATCGTCACTACCGCCTGCAAACAGTGGCCGACTTGAAGAAGGCGAGAGGAGAAGCTGGTGCCCGAGGACAGGTACCGTTACTATGTCAGGGGGCCGTGATGTACCCGCTGCCCACCCTGCCTCCAGCACATGACCCACCTCACCACTCACCACAAGCACTTGCTGGACGGCATGCCCAGCTCGAACCACGACCGGCCCGGCCAAGCACGCCAGGCCCTACCAAATTCTGCGTGCCCGACAGATTCTTGAGCAAGTGACGCCGTTCCTGGAGCAACATACGGCGGCGATGATCCAAGAGGCACATAGCCTCTTATATCAGTGGACCAGTGTGCTATGGGGAGAACCCATACAGGAGGGGGGAAATCCCTCTCCGATCCCTGCCTCCGAAGCCACTACCATCCAGCTACCCAATACGACGGCGCCATCAACAGCCTCGATGGGGAGCACCCCGAAGGCGAGGGCGGCGACCACTGGCTCGATGCCCGACCCACCGCCGTCGAAGGATGCGCGTGGCTTTCGACCCGAACGACGATGTGGAGGACAACGACTCCAGCGACGAGGACTGAACGTGGAAGCTGAGAGCGCGCAGATGTAGGCGGGGGGACTCCCCAAAAGTTAGTGGCTCCAGAAAGTTCCCGGCCACGTGCCTTGTTTTGTCATGGGTTTGTTTGTACTGGGTTGTTGCCTTTGATGGTTTTGGCCTTCTTACAGCCTTGAACTTTGTGCTTGCCTTCGGAGGGGAGCTGGAAGAGTGTCTTTGTGATGCATTTGGCTCTTGTTTGTTCAACGTCTTACACCTGTTGCTGCCCTCGTGTGAAGCACTTCTCAGCCTCCATGACCGGAACACAACAAGTCACGGCATCCCCGCACTAGGGCACTTTGCCTGTTGTAGCCCTTTGCTCCTGTGTTGCGGCTTTTGTTAAGCCCACGTCCAGCCCATGCCTGTGACGCGACTCGTCTTCCAGGTGCCGCTGCTTTTTTATGGTGATGCTATTCCAAGGCAACGTTGTTAGTCCTTTGTACTTGCCATGTAGTCGGACTGAATGATAACCACATGCACTCCCCGCCGTAGCATATTTAAACCTTGCATTCTGTTTTGTTCGTTCGCATGCTGGTCATGTGTTGCTGCCCTTGTGGACGCCCGGCTACATCGCAAACCAAGATACCATCTCATGTAAGGGGACCCTCTCCCTGGTAGCTCGGATGCACGAGCAACATGCGGCTGCAAGTCAAGCTGCCAATATGCAGGACGTGAGCCGTCATCTTCTTCGTGTGTTCATGTATGTCTCTAGTGCCCTCGTGTTCCTCTTTACCCCTGTCACCTCTAGCCATGTCGCGGTCACAGTTCATGACACCACCACCAGGCTCGGGAATATCCCCGCGATCGAGGCCAGTACCCGCGAACAAGTTGTTTATGCTGATTTGTAAGGGTCGTCGTGTGAGTTCGGGGAAGAGGTACTTGCCAAGTTGCTAGGGCAGCCTATGTCCATTTAGGCAGATGTTTACCTGTGTGTGGTGCGCCTGCAAGTCCTTGGCGCCTGCAATTGTCGGGGGCGTACTTGCACGCGGTAAAAGGGTCTTCCCCTGCACCAAAGCCCTGGCGAAAGAAAGAGAGAGAAAGAGAGAGTAACCATTGGCTCAAGCCGTGAGTTGTTCAAAAGATCGGGGAAGCCTTCGCCCTTGTTCTCGCGCTTTCCTTCCATCTTCTCCGTCGCCTCTGGCCAGTTTGGGTGTGCCTTGCGGAGGCCCACGTGAAGGCGTGTCAACTTGTCCGGGTTGCCCCGCCATTGCGAGCTATGCGATCTCGGGCACTGCAAATAGCTCACGACCACGTACGTGTCACAGTCCTCCGTCCAGCCGCAGAGAAGTGCTGCGTTTTTCCCGGATATTTTGGCTGGAAAGTTCACCGGCTGCCTTCCAGTAGAGGGTGTTAGGGTCCTCCGCACGCCTCGTCGAGGGATACGAAGTGGACCCAAAGTGCCGATATCCCCCGTCCGGACCCGCGGCAGGATGTGCACAGCCTTTGCCTTCTCGGGGTCCCGCGATATCGCTGCACAAGAGATGAATGAGTTCCTTTAAGCAGGCGTGTTTGGGTCTCAGAGACCGGTTTGGCAAGGGCAGTGGAGAGGCGTGAGGGGACTTGGCGGGGGATCAGCTTCACATTACTGTAGCTGTGCTGCAGCAGGCCCTCCAAGTGAATCAGCAACAAATCACCAACTCCGCACATGAATCTCTCGAAGGTCTGGGGCATCGCATAGGACAGGTGGAAGCCAACTTGGACGAGCATGTCAAACGTACCACAAAGCTCCTTGTTATGATGACCGACCGACATTGACGCATGGAGCGCTGTCACTAATGTCACGACGAGCCATGACGAGCTGTCTCGCAGGTTGGAACTGCTTGAACTATGGAAGTTTGCCCCGCCTCCGTTTCCGCATCGAGCAGGCGCACTTCGGACGGGGACCAAGCCCCGCGGGCTGCAGTAGTAGTGGGTCGTGCCAGACGCAGTTTCGCGATCATCCGCATCGCCCCCAGGGCCGGGGAACTCACACTGGACTTCAGACGGCGAATCCGCGAAGCCCAAGAAGAAAGACAGACAGGGAGAGCGAGAGCGGGGCATGAGAGAAGAAAGACAAGCTAATTGGAACGTTGGGTCTTGCCTTCCGTAATCCAGAGTCTTCAAACTTCCTGCCGCCCTACGATTGTGGCCAGGTGGCTGCTTCTCTGCCGTCTCCGAGACTTCAGCTTCCTGGCCAAATCGCAGACCACAGCGTGTAGGACATAGGCCGGTGGACAGCTTCAGTTTGGATTGTCATATTGTGAAAACGCTCCGTGGGTCCCGTTTGTTAGGATTCTACGCGGAATGGGGCTTTGCGGGAGAAGCTGCCCGTCCCGGAACTTTCCCCGTGCCTGCCCTGGACATTGCCCCAATCTGCCCCATGAAGACCCCAGAGCTCTCGTTTTTTGTGAAAAACATGATTTTGGATATGCGTTCCGCGTACTGCAGTTGTACTCCAAAACACGATTTCCAAAGGGCCCTGCCTCCAGTAGTTTGCCGGAGCCGTTCCGCGTACGACATTTGTATTGGAAATCACGAATAGACTTTGCAGAACCCCGCGCTGCAAGCGTGCTTTCCCTCAAGCACTGGCGGATTCAAGGATCGACGGCCCTTTCCCCCAAGTATTAGGGGATTCAGGAGCAAACCCTAGGTGGCTTTACGTTCCAGGGGATAGGACTACTGTTCTGAGGTGCTGGTTTTGATGCAGCCGTAGGCCTTCGGGCTGCCAGCACACTCCCCGCAGCACGGACGACAGAGTTACCGCGACAAACCGGAAATAAACACACCCTTCCGTAAGCCACATGTGTACATGTTCTTTCCTGTCGCCCTCCCCCGGACAGCAGTCCGCCTCGGGAAGAGGACACCAACTCCATTGCGCACGTGGTTACTATTGATCGAAGCAATCTTCATGGTTTAGGAATCAAGGCTCGCCACGCCTCCAATGTCCCTCATGTTGTTAAGCTGCTAGAGCTTAGAAATCCTGGGAATGTTAGTGGAAAGAATACGAACCCCAGAGCCCCAGCAGAGACTAATCAGGTAGATGCTCAAAGCCCTCATGCAGAGGCATGGCTGCGACGTGGCTCAAGGCAAAAAGGACACCAGGGTTGCAGTAGATGCCCTGGTTGTTTAGGGGTTCGTCCGGGTTTAAGTATCTTCCTTCCCCTTTGATTGGTTGTCAGCCGTAGCTCTTGTTCTTCAAAACCAGGAGCCATACGTAGCCTTGCTGCCGGGTGCCGCCTCAGGAGCAGACACAGTACCGTGGAACACGTGCAGGCTACAAGGCATGGAAGAGGAACTATCACGAGGCCCAGGACGTGCTGCAGGAGTACGTTCACGAACACCTGGGTGTCTGGATCGGCAAAAGGAACTACGACAGACTGAGCCAGGCACATATAAACACAGTCTTGGAGTTTGCTATTCTGGTGGAAAGGCCGTTTACTCTTGAGATTTGGGAGCGTATTGCTGGATATTTTCAGGAGGCGTTTGTTGCGATTGGACGTGCCGTGGAAGCTGCCGAGGAAACGGCTCGTGCACCAGGTCGTGAAGAGGGTGCTGCAGCCGCTTCCTCGGCGGCATCGGCACCTTCAACAGCAGCGGCCGAGCCAGCAAAAGCGAAGCCCAGCGAGCCGGCAAAAGCGAAACCGAGCGGGCCGGCGAAGGCGAAGCCAAGCGAGCCGGCGAAAGCAAAGGCCCCGCGCTGGGAGTGACAGGCCCGCCGCGAGATCTCTACCACCCGTCTCGGCGCGACCCATTGCGGAGACGCGGCGTACAATCGGACAGGGAGATCGAGGAGGACACCAAGGCGCCAGAGCGTCTTCTGAGCACCGCCCTCCAGACGAGCGGCGGAGACCGGCAGAGGCACCAGAGGCAGGCGTATAAGTCGAGGTGCCCATCTCAGGTTCTGAACGCAATCGCTCGCCATCACCCCGGGCAGCAGCAACTAGGCTGCGCGCGTGCACTCCCAAGGTGCGTGGGTCCGAGTCCGGGAGCAGTCCTCCCAGCCGTCCTTTGTGAGACGCCCGCTGCCCCCTCCAAGGGTGCTGCGCCAGGCGCACCAAGAGGACAGCGAGGAGGCACTAGACGCACCGAACCCATACGATCTGCCAGCGAGTGCCCCTCTAGGGAGGGTTATACCTCGAGTGGTTTTCCTAGGGATGTTGACATGGCTTCACTCAGTGACTGTGAGGAACGGGCGGCCGACAGAGGTGCAGCCCCTCCCCGGCCAAGCGGCCGTTTGAGCACGGCAAGGTCGTAGAGGCCGAGGCGCACTCGGCCTCACAGGGCACGAAGGCCCGAGGTACCAGAAACGCACCACATCCAGCCGGGCCGCTAAGGGTGCCGAAACGACCGTCGCTTCCGGAGCAGGCGCGGCCACAGCGTGTAAGCCCGTCGAGGGCGAGCTCACAGGCGAGGCCAGGTCACGCACAAGGTCACCGAAACCAAAGGTCTACTCCAGGTCCTTCGCAAGTCCGATGGAAAAGCAGATGACATGATTGATGCACCCGCTGCTCCGTTCCAACAGCTTGCCACGGATGACGTTATCATGGCTAGTGGTATAGGCGTGGGAGGCGTTAAGTCACACCATGTCGTAAAGGATGTCTTCTCAGAGGCTACAGTTGCCTATCCCATGACCCAGAAGGGTGCGCCGCAACACGCGCGCAATTTGAGACACTTCTTAGGCCTTAAGGCAACAGAGCTCGCGCCAACTTGCCTTATCAAGCCTGACGAGGCTGGTGAGCTTACCGCTGCAGCGGAAGAGGTAGGCTTAACACCCGAACCCTCGCTACCAAACCGGTTTCCTCACAATGCCGCGGTGGGGCGTGACATTAGGGAAGAGAAAGAGTGCTGCAGAGCAGTGCACCTGCAGAGTGGGCTGCTTTAGGAAATGCATTCATACTCGTATCCTTTTGCCTGTTTGTCGTTGTCCTTTGGCCGACCAGCTCCACACGGGGGGGTTGCGCAATGGGAGGCCCTCACAAAGGAACCCTTTCAGGGAAAGAGGGCTTGCTTTGGACAGCTTGTGTGCTACCGCAGTA